CCACCCCCCCCCCACATCCCCACGGGGACAACTGGGGCCGGCAGCTCCTGCCCCACAGCTCAGCACTGAGCCATGGGTGGAGGAGTGATGAGCTGTGCGGTCTCTGCAGGACCTGGCCATGGGCACCGATGCTGAAGGTGAGAAGATCAAGGACCCCATGAGGGCCATCGTCCCCATCCTGCTGGATGGGAATGTCAGCACCTACGACAAGATCCGCATCATCTTGCTCTATATCTTCCTGAAGAACGGTGAGGAGGACACCTAGGCAGGGGTGGGCGAGACGTGCAGGCAGCTCGTTGGCAAACAGCTCAGGGTTTGGCCAAGATAAGTCGAATCAAAAAGCTCAGCCCTGGCTCCCCAGCCACCACCAAGCCAAGTGTCCTAAGGTGACGATGGAGGGGCCATGTCCCTGCCGGGAGGCATTTCTCAAGTGGACACCATCTCCCCATTGCATTTCCAGGTATCACCGAGGAGAACCTGAACAAGCTGATCCAGCACGCTCAGATCCCGGCAGAGGACAGCGAGATCATCACCAACATGGCCCACCTCGGGGTGCCCATCATCACAGACGTGAGTGTCCACCTCCCGCTTCCCATGGCCCTCCTTGCCCTTCGGAAGGACCCACATACCCCCTCGGGATGCCCCCAGCACCCCTCCGGGGTGGCCCCGGTCCCACCACGGGAGCCCCCGTAACTCGGGGTGTCCCTGTGCTCTTTCTGCCCAGTCCACCCTGCGCCGCCGGAGCAAGCCGGAGCGGAAGGAGCGGATCAGCGAGCAGACCTACCAGCTCTCCCGATGGACCCCTGTCATTAAGGACATCATGGAGGTGAGCCAGCAAGGACAGGGATGGGGCACGGAGCAGGGACCTCAGCACTGCCCGAGAAGGGACCTGCAGAGAACTGGGTGCTTCCACCCAAACCCTGGCACCTCTCCCCGACACGTGCCCTCCAGGCTGCTCGCTGCCTCCAGTTGCAACAAGGTTGGGATGTTTTGGGAGGTTTTCCCGGCCCCCACGTGCATGCTGGCCCCGAGTGGGTTCGCTGCAGTTCAGTGCCACCTCTGCTTCCCAGCACCGGTGACAAGCAGCCCCGGCTCCCTTGATTTCCAAAGGCACGTGTAACGCCAGCTCTTGCCTTCTTCTCCCACAGTCCGTGCAAACCCCCCAGGATGGCTTTAGGCACCCCCAAACCTCATCCCCAGGACCAGAGGGGGCTGCACAGAGCACCACCATCTCACCACCATCTCACCGATGGCAT